AATGACCAACACAAAGCAGGGGGGGGGGTTCTCTCTGTCTCATACCTTGCCGCATGTGGCTGGAAAACAACACGAAGCCGCAAGCTGGTGGCTTAATAGCCACGCGTGTATCAAGCCTGTATAGGCCTATATCATGCATGAAGTCGTACGACCTTGCACATACAAGCACATTCGCTCAGTACGTAATACCCTATTGAATTGCGCTTTGAGTCACTACACGTAATAACTGAAACGCATACTTAGCTGTATTTCGCCTTAATTCACTCAAACTGTGGCGTAAATCTGTGTTAGAAATGGGGGAGTGGAAAGGTGGGGGGATGACTCGCCTAGCCATGGAAATTTGAAAAGTAGGCGGGGCAATTGCCAAGCCATATACACTATATAGAGGGCGATGTTCATAAAAAAGATGTACATCTGTAATGTGTATCAAATTCATGCAGAATCTTACATCAGAATGGTATATTTATGCATTTTACAAATTAATTTCCCTCTTTAGTGATATTGCAAACATTTTCGTCGCTGGAAAATCCTTAAAATTCTTCACAATCCGCTTTCACAGAAGTGAGGGGGATCATACCCCCACCCACCCCGGGATTTACGCTCTTGCACCCAAAGACCGTACTGCCTCTCATAAGACCGGCCATAGAGCCACCCGTGAGTTACTGCACTCAGTGTACCGGTAACGTATTAAGAGCTTCTTGGTGCCATGCTAATATCAAGAACTTGCTGACCCTTCCTGTAATGTCGGTTACCTTTAACTTAAAGTCAGGGTGTTATAGAGAAATGTTTAATACCCTTAGGGATGATACCTTTGGGAGACGCTAGGGTGTGAGGGAGACATTCTGATGTCTCCCTAAATGCCTCAGTCCTTGCATGTGGAAGTAGATGATTTTTGCGTTTCTTTAGAAAAGGCAGTGTATGTCTCATGTACAAAACCTGTGTCAGCAGGTTTTACCGTTTAGGTGTTCTAGGTAATTGCCATCTTTGTGCACGAGTCTATTATGTAAATGTCTGTCCAAAAACATTTATCATTTGGGGGTACACGACTGTGATGGACGCAAGTCCACGTCGTGTTAAAACGCTTCGACGCAATAGCCGTACTGTTCGAGTACAAATGTCCATCTGTCGAAACTTCGTTTCCGGCTAGGTCTGTGCTTTTTAATCATTTTATGGCATGCGCGTCAGTCTAGCGTGACTCCACCAGCGAACTTAATGCAGAAATTGATACGAGTAGAGTTCACAATAATTTGTCTATAGAGGATCATTCAGTAAGAGTTGAGGAAATATACCCTCCTCGGATGTCACAATGCCATGAAAATGAACCCAGCTTACATTCTTGGGTTGTAGCATTCTAACTGTCATGACATCTGTTCTAAAATAACACCTCGCGAACCGAGCAGCGGCACCACGGTTATTTCAACAGTGACATAAGAGCTTGACCAATATTCGGAAAATTGGCATGCATCATGCATGCTGATGAATGTAAACGCCTGCAAACCAGGAGGTTCGAACGACAGAAACCGACTAAAATAATTGGCCTAATATAAAATTGACCCATAATTTATTTAGCGCGTAGAACCCACAAAGGCAGTTGTTGTGAAGAGATTAAAATCTGCAAATATTAAATAAACATTTTAAAGTAGCATTAAAAGTAAAAAAAATGCCTTTGACTTCATCGTCAGATATAAAAGCGATAAGACAATACAGAAAACTGCAATGCAAAAAGCAAGTCGAACTTAGAAGGGACTGGGGTTGCATATGTAGAGAGAGTAACGCCAACTGTAGACTTCGGAACCAAAATGGCTGTTCATTATGTGTGCAGCAGGACATGCAGTATGCAGTTTTACGCTAATGGTGCAGGTGCGCTGACGCACATAATCCACCATTTGGGTTCCAACAGACTAGACACTTATGTCGCAACTCTCTCTAAAAACAGCCCTAGTAGGGACTCTGGTAAGAAATCTGAACTCTTTATAAAGAGTTACTCAAACAGTCTCGATATAATTCCGTACCAGGAATAAGAATGAAATTTACTCACTGTATGAGGGCGGATGGGGGGGGGCAGGGGGCCATGCCCTCCCCCCCCCCAAAAAAAATCCCGAGAGCCATTTTGTTCAGGAAATTGTTTCTGAGCAAGTGCTTAATTGTGACTGGTGCAATCAGTCAATGTAACAGTCCACCGGGAACGCTGCTTACTTATTTTGCCCCCCCCCGAAAATGGGTCTGAATCCGGCCTTGTATGTGTAGGCCCTACAGCTGAGTTGCGGATACCCTCACGCATGCAAGGTGTTATAAGCCTGTACTTCATGTATTTGTATCTTCTCCCGCTATTTCAGAACAGAACTGGGAAAACACACAAAGAGGAGGAAATAAACTTGGTTACACCTGTGACAAAACTCGAGTGAACTCAGCAAATAACATATTGTCGGCGATGGCAGATCGTAATTGTTCGTCACCGTTTTCGGAGTATTACACCGATTTAGGCCTATAGCTGTCTCACCCTCAAGCAGTGAAAAATTAATGAAATCCACACAATGCTATATTTCGCCGGAAGGTAACGAGTCTGACACGTCGTGTCAGTCACGCGTTAATGTATACGCAAAAATTAAATTTGCATTATGGTTGTATGCCATACGTGGATACTGCAGTTTTGGATCTGAGCAAAATGTGACTCTACTGACAAGACAAACGAACGACGCCTGCCTTCAAATGGAAACGATGATCTTTTCTCCAACCTCTCCTTCCTCGGCTTTATCTCCGTTTTAATGTCCTGTGTTTGGATAAACCCCAAGCGAAGGACGGAACGGAGTGAAATTCGCCTGTTGCCATGACAATTCCTCAGAATTGACTCAGCTCTGCTCCGTTGTTGATTTTTGTCAGTGTGCCCCTGAGCGGATGCTTTTCTCCCCCCAAAAGAGCCATGCCCCTCCCTGACGACGCCAATGTCACCCTGCAAATTTCTGCATGTTATATAGGACTATTTCTCGCCTTTTCATTAAAAACTCAGTTCAGTCACTAATTCATATGCTGTCTGGCGTGCATTCATTGTGCGGGGAAAAAATTACGAAAGTTGATCTTACCACGTGACCACACCATCGCTGACCACGAAAACGAGGGCGAGGATTGACATGATATAGCAGCAAGAATCACGTGTCAGAGGCCAGCAGGTCAGATAGATGGTCTGCAGAATAGGGGAATAAAGAAAGAAAAGTTCTCCGTCATTCATGCAAAGTCTCGTTCAAGACGAGAGAACGCCGCACAAACTCGAGTGTTTTAAAGAGAAGCTATAGGTATATGGGCCAAACCCTTGTTTACCCTGAATCTCACATACAGGAAGAACATTTGGATATTACGAAAGCCTGTGATGGTCACTGCCTAAATGGCTCCTTTGAAGCGTTTGTCTCCTTTGTTTTGAAAATATGGCAATGTATTTTTGTCACATTTTTAGCTGTCAACAAGTGATGGGAGTCCGAGTAGACCTGGGGCTGTTCAAATGCATGTAAAATTATTCCAGTATAGTTACTGTTGCTTGACAAGTTAATTGCAAATGATAAAATTTCGATAGTGTTCATTAATGGCCATTTCTTCTGTATGGATGGCGATAATTAAAATGCAGTTTCAACGATTATTTTTAAATGAATTCTCACTCGAAAACGATGTATGTTTTTAGCCTACCCCGGTCTTAATTTAAACCAAAGCTTCGCATACCGTGGACAAAGTAAGATTTTAAGTGAACTCAAACACATTTTATAAGATCGACTCCATGAACGGATGTCGTGAGAGTTTTAAAACTGACATTCGCCTTCGTGGAGCCTGGTGACTTTATAACACGAAACATAACCTTTTGAACTTTTCGATCGTTCAGAAATATCTCCCTNCCCCGAGCCTCTCTCGACTTCGAGTAACAGTGACGCCACGCTTTGTTGATTTAAAGACCGCGACTCGCCATCGCAATTCCACTATTCAAACTCAACATACGATCGGATTTTCATTTAGAAATTATGAAAAGCAGTGAAAACGTGCACTACATACATAGACAGTGTTCATTTTGTCTTGTTCATTGTTCCACGCTTTGGACAAAATTTCTTGTCGCTAAGCAAAAGTAACAGTCATATGCACATACGAGCAACTGTCAAAGGGGAACCATTCACAACTATATGTAATACATGTTTGTCTGGTAACCTGGGTACAGTACTGTGTTTGTTTCTTACAGGGTGCAGTCCACTAATTCAAGCAATAATTTCCGCCAGGCTCATTAGCATTAAAAGTGCCCCCACAGTATCTTTCGAAAAAGGGGATTGTTTGGCCCCCAAAATGGTGAGATTGTGTAAATCTTTGCCAGGATCGAGTCCCTAGTTCTTTGGGCTTCCATCTGAGGGCGAAAGAGATAAAAAATACGGTTGAAAAATGTTCCCAAAGGACCGAGAAAGTAGAGGGTTGCCATTTGAAAAATGGCTGCGTGCTGATTTAGGAACATCGACTTTTGAAGGGGTTGGTTTTGTTTTGGGTGAATAATTAAAAATGAAATTGGTTAACCCCCCGAAAATTGAAAAGAAACTGAAAGATTAATGACCAAATAAATTTTTGTGTGAGACACCTCAGGGATGTTGGCTTGCATGTTATTGAGCTCTGAAGAATGGTGATTTTACACTGTTTTCAAAGGGGCTTGAATTAGTGGACTGTACCCTATAGTCAAAGGCCGATTTTGGGCGGCTTGTTGTCGTTTGATCACGAACAGCTTGATTTGTCGTTCTTGGGTCGGCCGCTCGAACGCCGGGAACGTACAATTGGTCATTGCTGGTAGTTAGTGACAAGCAACATGGCGGCGTCCATGTTGTAGTAAACTATTCGAGAGTTAATGCTTGGAAAACTGGGCTGAATTCTTTTTCTATTTNCCCCCGGGCCTCTCTCGACTTCGAGTAACAGTGACGCCACGCTTTGTTGATTTAAAGACCGTGACTCGCCATCGCAATTCCACTATTCAAACTCAACATACGATCGGATTTTCATTTAGAAATTATGAAAAGCAGTGAAAACGTGCACTACATACATAGACAGTGTTCATTTTGTCTTGTTCATTGTTCCACGCTTTAGACAAAATTTCTTGTCGCTAAGCAAAAGTAACAGTCATATGCACATACGAGCAACTGTCAAAGGGGAACCATTCAAAACTATATGTAATACATGTTTGTCTGGTAACCTGGGTACAGTACTGTGTTCGTTTCTTACAGTCAAAGGCCGACTTCGGGCGGCTTGTTGTCGTATGTTCACGAATAGCTTGATTTGTCGTTCTTGAGTCGGCCGCTCGAACGCCGGGAACGTACAATTGGTCATCGCTGGTAGTTAGTGACAAGCAACATGGCGGCGTCCATGTTGTAGTAAACTGTTCGAGAGTTAATGCTTGGACAACTGGCCTGAATTCTTTTCTATTTAAACAGGAACATTCACTTCTGTGTTGTGAAAAATAATTAATGTTAATTTTGCAAAACTTCCTATTGTCTCCGACTTTGTATGCCATCTCTCTATTTTTTGGTGCTGTGCAAAAAACAAAATCTCACGAGTTTTTCCGTGTGTTCCTGTAAAACCCTGACGAGGAGGTGGTGCGTGATGCTGTTCCGAGAACAGTGTTCTTGAGTCGTGTTCCCGCCGTTAGAGCGCGAGAACAAGAAACCCGTGTCAAGAACACGGCGCCCGAACTCGACCAAAAGGCCACATTGTCTCGTGCAAGTGTCTCGACTTGATTCCCATTAATTAGACCGTGGGCCAGAAATCGTAGCTCGCAGTTTCGTTGGGAGTTTCGAGTTACAACCTACTTTTTGCTCTAATAAACACCTTACATACTATGAATCAATATGTTGTCTGTTGCCATCCGGATATTTTGCTCTATAATGTGAAAAATAAGGGTATAAAAATGCGAAATTGCTCGTGTTTTGTTCGTCTTTTTCAATATGTCGATAGAGGGCGCTGTCTCAACCTCGATCCTTTATCAATTTGAGCTCATGAAATACCACCGTTGCACTTGGGGACGAGTGCTACTCGAAGTGAACGTGGCGCCGTTCGCGAGCAAACAGGCGTTTATAATGATTATTATTATTATTTATTCATGCCAGAAATAAAAACCTACCCCAGCGAGAAGGGCATAGGGGAGATAAAAGCAAGGATACTCACTATGGTCACAGGGACCTGTCACCCGTCTCCGCGTGTTTACGCAGAATCAGGAGAAATTTCACAATTTATAGAGATAAGTTGGTGAAAATATGTGACATGTTGCGAGCAGTTGAAAAAGTTTGATGGATAGGAAAGAGGTGTTGCTCTGGAAAACGTAGAAATAGCGAGAAACGAGCAATCTGAGCTAAGCTTCTTGGCCTTCCAAACATGCCAAAGTTCCATGCCAAGCATATCGCATGTGTTTGTCAGTCATGACAGTTTTAAATTGTGCTTCTCCTTCGTGTCCTTGGGATCGAGGTTTGTCTCTGTCAGTTAAAATACTAATCATAGTGCTGGTTCTGATTTAGGAAACAGATGCAAATTCAGGACAATATAAATTATTTCCATAATATTTATTTCTACAGAAACGGTCAGTTGAATTCTTTTAGGAGGACGGGATTCCACAGCATTTCCGTGCAAATAAAGTCATGACACTTGATATTTGATTTTTTTCTAGTTCCAGATCTTTCCTAATTCTGGGTCGTTTGAATTTAAAACCTACCGTCTTTTTGTGCTGTTCTTCAGTTTGCATTCTAAGACAAGTTGTATTTGAAAGGTAAAATTTATTTGTCCTCCAACTTTCCGGACTAGGCCAGATTTGTAGTTCACACTTCGACATTTGAGTTTGTTGCAATCACTGGAGCCAAAAAAAATCGGCAACAATTTGCAGGGCGATAGGTCACTTCACCAAATACTTTTTCGTATGTACACCTTTACAACTAATCAAATGAATTAGAATTTCTGTCTTCAAAATCGGCTGAAAATTGAACAATTTTTTTTTCTAAATTTGGGTTGCACGTTAAGTGCACGCAAATACAGGTACAATACAAACCCAACGACACTGACCTATACAGCAGAAATGTGATGTAATGGGTTTGTCAGTGCGCGGCGTGGGGATGGTATTGTTGACAGCTTGCTGTACAGCTGATAAAGTTGAGTGACGGTTTACTCATGTTCTACTTTTTAATTTGTTGTAATTAGCTGTGAAATTTTGATTTATGAACTATTTTTCTCCCAGAAATTCTCCATTAGAAAATCAGCTTGTTGCCATGGCTGAAATGTGGAGTTTCGTGCGGTTACTTTTTATTGGTGAAGAACTTTTTGTGGCAATCCAGACCTGGTTTAACGGAGCAAGAAGCATGAAAAGTGTCCCCGTCACTTTCATCATGATTCCTGTAAGTTAAAATTAAAGCTCAGTATCGGCAAATAGTTTTGCAGTATCTCTAGCACACACTGACCACATTTCACTGCAATTTGAGCATTTTTTTGTAAATGCAATCTGACTGAATAATTTTTGCGATCTGAAATTAGGAAAAAGAGTGTACATGTTCTTCACTTTAAATTTCCTTAAATAAATTTATGAATATATTAATCATTCATGGTTTAATTTTTTTATGAGGCCTATGCTTATTGAAGCGTGGAGGATTTTGGAGAATTGAGAATAGTGTTTTAAAGGCTGAGGATTTTGGAGGATTCAGGATGAATGCAGTTTTTGAAGTTGGGCAATCAAATATATTAGAGGATTGAGGATGTGCCGCGGTAAAAAATCCCTAGTGGGTTAGGGTTAAGTTCATCAGGTCCCAGTTTCATAAAAGTATACGGGCACTACGCCTTCCACACAATCTAGGCTGTCTGGGTTCTTTCTCAGTTCAAGTCCTCTGTTTCCACTTAAACTGGATTCAATGCATGAAGTCAAGTGAAGGATTTACAAATTTGATTTATTAATTTCACTACCGGATATAAAGTGTCTACTTCTGAGTTTAAAATCTATAAAAGTATCAGTGTACATCTACCGAATTGTACATGTACATTTCATTTCAACAAGTACATGTACACATGTACATGTGTTTCAATGACATAAGAAGTGTTGGTAACTGTGCAGTGAAACCAGTAACAAAGTTTTCTTAGTCGCGTGAAGTTTAATCAAGCATTAGTTATCGCAAAGGAGCTGGATCACAAACCATACGAGATTGC